TTTTTTTTTTTTTTGAGACAGTTTCACTTTGTCGCCCTTGGTAGAGTGCCGTAGTGTCATAGCTCACAGCAACCTTAGACTCTTGGGCTCAAGCGATTCTCTTGCCTCAGCCTCCCAAGTAGCTGGGACTACAGGTACCCATCACAATGCCCAGTTATTTTCAGAGTCTTGCAGCTCAGGCTGGTCTTGAACTCATGAGCTCAGGAGATCTGCATGCCTCAGCCTCCCAGAGTGCTGAGATAACAGGAGTGAGCCATGACACCTGGCCCTTTCGCTAACAATTTTAACATTTTAATTTTTTTTTTTTTTTTGCAACAGAGTCTCACTCTGTCCCCCAGTGCAGTGACCTCAGCCTAGCTCACAGCAACCTCAAAGTCCTGGGCTCAAGTGATCCTCCAGTCTCATCTTCCTGAGTAGCTGGGACTACTGGCGCCTGACACAATCAATGCCTGGCTAATTTTTCTATTTTTAGTAGAGATGGGGTCTTGCTCTTGTTCAGGCTGGTCTCACTCCTGAGCTCAACAGGTCCTCCTGCCTTGGCCTCCCAGAGTACTAGGATTACAGGCTGGAGCCATTATCCTTAGCAATAAGGAAAATTTAAAAAGAAAATATGATAATAACAAAATCAGAGCAAGGGGACTTGGTTGTAGGAGTTGAATACTGAATGGTATTAATCAAAGATGACTTGATCCAATTTCCATGGTGTACTTTGTGGCTTTTAAGTTAATATGGAGACATTAATAAACTACAAAATAGGTATATAAAAGTCCAACAAAGTTCTATTTCCCCCCTTTTTTTTGAGACAGAGCCTCAAGCTGTTGCCCTGGGTAGAGTGCTGTGGCATCACAGCTCACAGCAACCTCCAACTCCTAGGCTCAAGCGAGTCTCCTGCCTCAGCCTCCCAAGTAGCTGGGACTACAGGTGCCCGCCACAACACCTGGCCATTTTTTGTTGCAGCCGTCATTGTTGTTTTGGCGGGCCCGGGCTGGATTTGAACCTGCCACCTTAGGTGTATGTGGCTGACGCCTTAGCCACTTGAGCCACA